TCCTGTTTTCAGCCTCCCCAGCTCTGGGATTACAGGCATGTGACACCACGCCTGGACTTGGTTGCCAGCTCAGCGTGCCCAGGGGCGGGACCAGCGTAGCATGAGGGACGGGGATTGAACCCTGGCCCCTGTGCTTGCCTAAGCAGGCACTTAATCTGCTGAGCTATCTTGTTGGCCCCATAATGTATTTTTTTTAATTGAGATGTTTGTTATATCTTTTTTTTTTAATTAAAAAAAAAAGTTGCAAAATTTTATTCAAGGTAAGGAAAGAAGAGCAAATTCAAGCCAAGTACATTTGGAAAAGAAATAGAGCCTGGAGCCTGAGGGCAAGAGTGAGAACACAGTGACCTGTTTAAATCTTTTGAGACACAGCAATACTCCTGCCTCAGCCTCCTGCGCGCTGGGAACACAGGTGTGAGCCATGACACCTGGCATCATTCACTGTGTCTCTGGATTATACCACGTGGCTCCAGCTGAGCTGCCCCAGCCACCCTGTGTGGTCCAAGGCACGGGGCTGCCAGGCCCCAGATGCCCCGGAGCACAGAGGATCTATCACCCTGCTGTGTGCTCCCAGGCCAAATTCTGGACCCAGAAATGTCACCAAACAAATTGGTTACTGTGTAGGCCACGAAATGTGGAATCACCTACACGTGACACTGATGAAGGCCCAGGTGGGGAGACCCACAGCTGCACTCCCACGGCTACGCTTGGTCCGCCCATATGTGCCTGCCATCCACACGTCCTGGGGAGAGCAGAGGCTGGGCACAAAGCAGGCGGCAGGCAGCAGAGGGAGGGCTGGCAAATTTCACGGGTCCCACTTGCTTCCCTGGAATGAAATATAGACAACACCACCCCACTTCTCTGTCACACCCTCCAAGTCCACAAATCTTAATCACTGACACAGAATCCTGTGATACTTCTTTATCTTTGTCTCCTCTGTGAGTGGAGAAGATCACAGGAATAGAGACTTTGTCTATGTCGGAGAGATGAAGAGTAAAGAACAATAGTAAACTGAGTAAAAAAAAAAAAAAATCTAGGCAGGAAAAGAAAATGGTAGGAAGAATGGTGCACACATTCCCAACCCCGGTCAGGACACCCTGCTCCGGCCTCTCATCACTCTCTGCTCTGGTCATGAGAACGGGCCTGGCTAGAGGACAGGAGGGGACTCACACCAGCACAGCGGCCTCAGGCGCCCTCGGCTGGACCCCTGCGTGAGTGCGCCCAGCCCAGCCGAGTCCTGACCCGCAGCTGCACTGCGTGGGGGACTAAGAGGCTCAGCGAGGCCAGAACTGCCCGGCCAGGGCGTGAGTGCAACCGTGGTGGTACAAGGCAGAAAGCTAGCGTCCTTACGGAGGAGGAACGAAGGACAGAGCCTAAGAAAATGTGTCGCCCCATAGAATTCCATGTGGCTTGGGCAAGCTGAGATACAGAAAGCAACAAATCGCAGAGACGCCGTCTGGTCTTTGATCCTTTACCTGGGATGTTACCAACTAGTGATGTGTAAACTAAGAGTCTGGTAAGTGGCGAAAGGCGATGTAACAGTGCCTTAACATCAACTTAGTCATATGCACATTTTTAGTCTGCTTTTAGCCCTCAATAAATGTGAAGTTTCAATGGCTCAGGACTCACTTAGAGTGAGATTAAGCTTGAGAGTCCTCTACAGTTACATTAGTCCAGTTTTCCCGTCGTTTTTTTCAGCTCTGACCCACAATATACAGCAATAGCAAATGGCTTCATAATCCATTGATTTTCAGGGTGCTTTGTTATACAGCATTACTGATTCAATAGCTGCCCCAAACATGGATGGCCAGGACCCAAGCTATTTTCTGATTTGCCTCCAATCTTCTTGGACCCACGATGCCAATTTTCTGTCTGCCACAACCTCTGAAAGACCCCAAGAGACCTTACCTAAGGTCCTTGGGCTCAGAGTCACCCAGAAGAGCAGGTCCAGCTGCTTGCCGTGGGCAGGGCTGCAGTTGGAGATGTTGACCCAGAAGCTGTGATGGTGGAAGCTTGGCTTGGGCAGCGTGTCATCCTCCAGGCTGAAGATCTCCTCAGCCCGTGTGCGCTGAGCCTGGATGATCATGAAGGCGCGCCCTGACTGGCAGACCACACCAGTGCGCTCCTTGGAGAAGGTCAGGCAGGCCTCCTGGCCGCTGGGCACGCTGATGTTCCAGGACACGGAGGAGAGCGCTGGCAGGCCGCGGTCCCAGTTTGGGGTCCTCAGGTAGACTTTGCTCTTTGTGTCTGGGGTCACCGTGAAGATGCCTTCCTCTGTGGGAAACGGAAGGATGTCCAGACACTTTCACTCATCAAGATGCAGAGAAAAGGGGCTGGGGAGATGGCTCAGTAGGATAAGCGCTTGACCGGCAAACGCAAGGATCTGAGTTCAATCCCCGGTTCCGCCAAAAAAAAAAAAAAAAAAAAAGATGCAGAGAAAAGGAGAAGCAGAGACACTGTGGGACCTTCTAGAACACTGAGTCCACTAGCACTTTCTGCGGTGACAGAAATGCTCTACACCTGCACCGCTGCACAGAGTGGACACCAGCCATGTGAAATGCGCCCTGTGTGACTGAGTCAGGACCTGAAGTGTCCTCGAAAGCCCAAATGAAAATGTGGTCCCCAGCCTGCTGCGGTATCAGGTGGTGGTACAACCCTAAGAGGTGGGGCCCAGTGGGAGGAAATGAAGTCGCTGGGAGCGTGGCCCGGAAGCACACGGGGACTGCACCCCTGTAGCCCAGCCCAGCAGCTGAGCCACCATGGGCTGGAACCTGTGACGCCGAGCCCAAAGAAACCTCTGCTCCTTGTGGGTTCCTCACCTCAGGTGTTTTGTCCCAAGGACCAGAAGCTGACAACACCTCGAGGAACTGCATTTTATGTTTCATTACATAAATGGCCACATGGGGGTCATTTGGGGCTGTCAGCTGTGGCCTGGTGCGTACAGGACGGGCCTTACCAGACAAGGTTCGGCTCTTTTGAAAAAAACACAACAAAATAAATGAGAAGCCAGCCCATGTGCCAAAGCAGTGGCCGCCTCAGTCCCCTATTGGAAATGCCTACAAAGTGCTGTGCCCGTCCTGTGAGGGACGGCCAGACCTCGACTCCTGTTTCTGAGAACCACAGAACCTTGGGCTTGGGGAAGAGCCTTGGAACCATGAAGCAGAGTTCCCGACATCTCCATGACCCATCCTGCCTGCGGAGACCACTCCACACTCCACACGGAGGCCCCGTGTCTGACGCCCATGGCCTCTCTAGAGCCTCCCTGGCAACCCTGAGACTCCACGCAGCCTGGAGTGACTTAATCCAGGGACCAAAGGCGGCCTTCCGCCACTCGCGCCTCAGACCAAAGCAAGCCAGTAACTGCAGAGCGAGGCCCTGGCCAATTTCAACACAGCCTTGAGGGCAGTGACATAGCTTTGTGGGTAGCTTGCCACGGCCGAGTGTGACTCACAACCAGCCACACGGAGGTGGCCAAGGTGGGCTGCTCAGACCCCACTGCTGCCTCAGAGCGAGAGTCACTTCTTTCCTGCTCCTGCTCGGTGTTCACCACACGAAGTTTAGAAGCAGAACCATAAAAAACGTCTGCATGAGGAATTTTATATCATCACTCTAAAAATATTCAGGACCAGGTGATACTTAGGCCTTGTTTATGTATTACCTGTTTCCCGGTTCTGCTACCTCCCACCTCCCCAGTTGGAAACACTTTCTCCATTTCGGTTCTTGGAGACACAGTCTTGCTAGGTATTCCAGGCTGGCCTTGAACTTGTGGAGACCCTCCTGCCTCAGTGTCCTGAGCACAGAATTATGGAGGGGCACCACCATGCCAGCTACGCATCCTAACCTCTGGGATTTCCCAGGCTGACAGGGAGTCAGCATCAGGATGAGCCTTGCACAGTTCTTCTGTCCGCTGTCCCTTCTTACCAAGGTGATGCCTACCTAGGGGCCCGAGGAAGGACAGAGTGAAAGCCTAAAGTAGAAATGTGGATAGGAGGAGAGCAGCAGGCGGGGCCCTTACCTTTGAAGTACGGCAGAAAGGACACGGTCAGGCCTTGGCGCGGCACCTCCGACTGGAAGCTGGGTGCAAAGGTGCGGAGTGTCACTGAGCTGTTCTGCCGCACCAGCACCTGCTCGATGGAGCCACCGGCGCAGAAGGAGCCGAAGTACAGGTCGTGGCCCGGGCCGGCGCTGGCCACCACGTAGCTAAAGCTGGCATTGCAGGGCCGCTCGTGGGTATGCTGCTGCAGCTTCTGTACCGGCGTCAGTGCCAGGCTGAGCCTGTCCTTGGGCATCAGCAGCTTCCAGGAGAAGTCACGCAGCTGCACGGGCAGCCGGAGGATGTCCCCAGGCACCAGCAGCGGGAATGACCTCCTTTGGCAGTAGTGGTAGTCGGTGCAGCCTACGAGAGGGTGGTGGCAATGGCACCAGGGCCCAGCACCGCCCCCACCCCCCGGCCATCTTCCCCGTGGGTGTTCAGGTGGCCCAGCTGGGGGACTCAGCATCCAGCACTGCGGGGCTGAGGGGCAGAGGTCATCCTACGAGGACAACGCATGGGGAGCCCTGCTGCAACCAGGGTGGAGAAGCAGCTTTGGGGGAGGTGTGTGCTATTATGGGGGGCCACCCGTAGCTCCCTATACTCTGGTGTACATTTCATTAATTTTTTACAGCACCAGGATTGAACCCAGAGTCTTTGCATCCCCAGGCCTTTTGGTCTTTTACTTTAAGACAGGGTCCCACTAAGTCACTGAGTCACCCAGGCTGGGCTCCCACTCTCAACCCTCCTGCCTCAGCCTTCCGGAGTGCCGAGAAGACAGGTGTACACTGCTGCCCCTGGCTTGAGGGGCAGGGAGGAAACCCCGGGTGAGAGGCCGTACTTAGGGTCTTCTCCGCCACAGCCCACAGGCGCGTCAGGTCATCGCAGAGGAAGGATATCTTGTGTCTGGAGCCAGGTGCCAGGGTGACGCTGGGGCTGCAGGTTCGGGACTCCAGACACACGAAGCAGCCGGCGACAAACCTGCGGCTCAGCCTGGGCCGGGGCTCAATGGTAAGGAACAACGTTCGCTCCTGGCTCAGGTCGACCACGTAGGTTTTATCTGAAACCACAGTGGAGGGGCGGCGTGATGCAGGGCAGCGGGCTGGGGCTGGAGGGGAGGGCAGCTGTCCTCGGAAGGACGCGCTGGGGTGTAGACGATGTCTTCAGATGGCAGGGGAGGGCAGGGCTTCACTGTGGCGACGCAGAGGACGTCAGCATGAGCATGAGAAGCCCCCGAAAACGTCCATCTGACCCTGCCCCCAGTACCACGTGGGGTCAGGGACAAGGGGCACAGGGACACCCAAGACCATTGGCCTGGGCATGGGAAGGGAGACAGAAAGGTGTACGCATCAAAATAGGGTCATTCCTAGTGCCACTTTTAATCCAAGTAAAGTGAATTAAAATCAAGTATTCTGAGACTGGGCATGGTGGCGCACGCCTGTAATCCCAGCTCATGGGAGGCTGTAAACAGGCGGATCAGTACAAGTCCAATCTAGTAGTGAGACCCTGAACACCCTGTAGACTCTTCCCTAAATCAATCAATCAATCAATACAATAAAAATAAAAAATAAAATAAAATGAAATCAAGGCTGGGGAGATGGCTCAGTGGAATAAGAGCTTCCCTGGCAAGCGCAAGGGCCTGAGTTCAAACCCCGGATCTGGAAAAATAAATAAAATAAAATCAAGTGTTCTGTCTGCCCTGGTCAGGCAGCTGGGGACAGGTGAGAGCCTGCTGCAGTCGTGAGACCCCTGCAACCGTGAAACCTGGCAGTGTGATGTGCTCACCACATGAACTGGAGACCCCCCCGACACTGGGTCATTCAATAAGCCACAGTGACAGGAATATTATGCAGCAGGCAAAAGAACGAGGGGCACGCTGAGTGCACTGGTCCGAATCCTCCTGCTCCAAGGACGGAGCAAATGGAAAGGCTAGGGAGAGAGACAGACACACACGCTTCCTCTTCTCAGCCGCCCGCCCTCCCACAGCTGCTGCTGCAGTTTGGGGAAGTCCCGTCCCGTGTGTGCCGTGTCACGACTGTGTGCGGTGTGTGTGCAGTCAGGCTGCAGCCTGTGGCTTTGTCACTACACAGAACTTTGTGCCCCCCCCCCCAGGTCATCACTGCCATTTCAATGATTCTTTTCCATTTTTGTTTGTACTGGGGATTGAACCCAGTGCCTTTACACGCAGCTATACCCCCAGGCTGGCTGGCTGGCTGGCTGGCTGGCTGGCTGGCTGGCTGGCTGGCTGGCTGTCTGTCTGTCTGTCTGTCTGTCTGTCTGTCTATCTATCTATCTATCTATCTATCTATCTATCTATCTATCTATCTATATTTTTGAGACAGGATCTCACTATGGAGCCTGGCTTTGAACTCCCGGTGATCCTCCTGCCTCAGCCTCCCGAGTGCTGGGCTCCCAAGTGTGCACCCGCCACACCTGGCTATTTTTTGTTCTGAGACACAGCGTTCATTCCCAGGGATGCCATGAGCCTGTGGTCCTCCAGCCTCCGCCTTCTCAGCAGCCACGCACCAGGCCTGACTCCGAATCATTTCTGTGGCACTTTTGGAATAATTTTTTCCTTTAACACGAATACAGGGCCCAGGGGAGAAGGCAAAGGCCATACAGCTCAGACCACTCAGGTGGAATCTGAGACTCAACACGTGTGCTACCCAGCAATAACAAAACAACACAGCAACACAACTGCAAATCAAAATCACAACCGCAATCAACGCCAGGCTGTTTCCTGGGAGCAGAGCAGGAAGCCGCTGTGGAATGCGGCAAGCAGGAGCCACCCACCCTCGAGCTGGACCCCAGACCCGGGCTTTGGAGAACACGGCCGCTCTGCTTGGTGTTGCCAGAGAGAGCAGGTTTCTCCTTCTTTTTGTTTTGAGACAGGGCTGTACTATGTCGCCCAGCCTGGTCCTCCTGCCTCAGCCTCCTGAGTATGCACCACCGCGCCCGGCATATTTTCTAGAAGCTCGAGGAGGGTGCAGGAGGCCAGGCAGATCCCCCAAGGGGACGATATACAGAGGAGAGCACCACGGCCTCATGGAATCATCGGCCATGGGGCCACTGCACCTTTTCCAAATTATACAAAGGGGTCATTAGGGCCCCAGCTCAGGGGTGTCCTGGGAGGCCCCAGTTCTGCTTCCTGCCATGAAGCTCCAGCCGTCAGTGTGCCGAGGAGATGTTTCTTTTCACTCACGGTTTTACTCATCGAATTTCTGATGCTGTTATATGGAACTAGCAATGTCACTCTATTTTTTAGATAAAAAAGTTCTCTTGTAAAAGAAAAAAGTAGAAAAATTATATAAAGGGAATGGCAGCATCTGCCCGTAATCTTAGCACTCGGGAGGCTGAGGCAGGAGGATTGCGGTGAGTGTGAGAATAGGGGAGGCTACGTAGTCTGAAACACATACATACATACCAACAAAACAAAAACAAGAAAGCAAGCATCCACGGAAAGCCGGCCTGGCTTCCAAACGCAAGGTCACCTTTGTTTCTCTCTACACTGAGAGGAGCCCCTCACCACCCCACCTCCCCTCTGGGAAACTCAAGGGTGTGGGGGTCCCTGGGTAGACCCCGAGGGAAACCCGGGTGGTGGGGCGGGGCTCACTCACTGCTCTCAGTCTGCGGGTGTTGCACCAGCACGTGGAAGCGCAGCCGCAGGGCTCCCGGGCTCTGGGCGTCCTGGTCGCAGCCCTGCAGGGACAGGTTGAAGTTCCCGGCCATGTTGCCTGGCTGCGGGTCGTCCAGCCGGAACACCTCGGGGTTGGTGGCTGAGCCGGGGATGTAGTACTCCACGCGCTCCTCCTTGCGCTCACAGTTGGACACGTTGAAGTCCAGGAAGGACACGCTGGCCCGCAGGGGTGCAGGGACCACGAACTGCCATGTCATGAGCTCGTCCTCAGGGAAGCCGGCTGGGTAGTTGGCCGACATCAGGGTGGCAAAGCCTTCACCCTCGAACACAGACTCGATGATGCACAGGCCTGCGGATGGGGACAGTGGCACTCAGGCGAGGCCGGTGTGCAGGACGCCGTGGGGTGGCGCCCGTGTGTTGTAACTAGCCCACAGACCACCAAAGCCACATATTTGGGTCTCATGTATACCCCAGGCTGGCCTTGCACTCACAGCAATCCTCCTGCCTCAGCCTCCTGAGTGCAGGGGTTACAATTACCTAGCATTGTTAATTTTGTCTCTAAAATGATTTGCTTCATTGTAAGTTTGTGTAATCCTATTCTTTAGCTGTTTTTTATTTCCTCTTTGGGTACCAGGAATTGAACTCAGGACCTCGTGCTTGCCGAGCTATCTCCCCAGCCTTTGTAATCCTATTCTTTATGATGGCTGTTTTTACCAGCTCACAAACTCCCGGAACACTTAACAACCAGCTTGCCAGATGTGGTGGTGCGCACCTGTCTTCCCAGTGCTCAGAAGGCTGAGGCAGGAGGATCGCTGTGAGCGCAAGGTCAGCCTGGGCTACACAGTGACACCTTCTTAAAAAACAAGACAAAACAAAACAAACCCAGCCAACTTGGGAGCCCATGGGAGCGTGCCCCAGAGCGCTGGCCCTGCCAGGAGCAGCTCACGTTTTATGGCCGTGTGGTTGACGATGCTGAAGCCGGACGTGTTTCTGTGCTGGAGCCACGGGAGGTGCAGGGCCACCTTCACCCCCTCCTGCAGCTTGATGCGCGACACCGTGCCATTGTTGCCGCAGAAGGTGCCGATCTTGACGATGGTGGTGCCCACTAGGCCACTGACCGTGTGGGTGACGCCATCAGGACAGCGGTCACCTGGCCCGATCTGCCTGAGGCGGGGCCCGGAGAAGCGCAGCTCTAGGCCGGCGCTCTTGCGGGCGCGCACGTCCCACACGAAGGTCTTGTTGAGGGTGGGCAGCGCCGCAGCGGGGGGCTGCAGCGGGATGTCGCCCAGGGGACATGGACCGGACGTGCAGTCTGCAAGAAGCCGCATGTGTGACTCTGACCAGGGTGGCATACAGAGCCACAAACCGCCCCCCTGGTCCTGTCCCAGCCACCCTGGACCTCAGGGACCACAGCCCCTGTGTCCCTCAGCTGCCCAAGCTGGCGGCTGCAGTCTGGTCCTTCCTGGGGGCCTGGAGCCTGTGATGTCCTCTCACTGGTGTCTTGGCGACAAGTGACACCCTCACCTGGATGCCATTCCGGGGACCAGGGCTGTTCTCCTCCTCCCCCAGCTCCTGCTGCTTAAGCTGCTCAGACAAAACCCCCAGCTGCTGTTTCCTTCAACTTGCAGCTTGCCCAGGGGCCTCTGCTTGGGCCAAGGAGCTAGGGAGTCCCGTGGTGGTCCTGCACCCTGGCACTCCCTACTTCTCCTCTGTGCAGTTACATTTTCTCCAGTTTTAGGGCACAGGGCCAAAATCCACCTTTTATTTAAGTTTAGACATATTTTGAGATAGCATCTCACTACGTAGCCCAGGCTGGCCTCGCACTTACGGCGATCCTCTGGCCTCAGCCTCCCGAGGGCGGGAATGACAGGAGCGCACCACACCAGGCTCAGGCAGCTCTGGACAGTGAGCCCCGTGAAGAAGCCTGCCAGTGCCGAGTTGGGGTGCAGAGCCAGCCCTCCCCCAGGCGGGCGGGAGCTCACCGATGTTCTTCTGGATCTCCAGCACGAAGTGCTTCTCGGGGTCCCGGCAAGTGAAGGTGAAGCCTGTCCGCTCCCCAGGCTTCACTAACAGCACACTCAATGGGCGCTTGGCTAAGAGGAGGTGGCAGGGTCTCGGGGCGAGCGCTGGGGTCCCCGGCTTTATGAGGACGGTGACTCCGCTTCCCTGAGGCACAGTGATCTCCGTGTCCCCTGCAGGGAGGGAGAAAGGTGGAATGAGCTGCATGATAAGGGCCACAACTGTCCCACAGAGGGTGACAGAGCCGCAGAGCTTGATGACAACATGGGCCTTGGCAGTGGAAAGGAGCAGTGTGAGGCTAGCTGGGCCCAGGCCCGTCTCTCTCTTAGATTATTAATTTTTCCCAACATTAAGGAACAACATCCCCTTTGCTGCCTCACCCCTCTGTGTTCAGAGGCCCGGTTTGCACAGAAATAAATAGTAACCAGAGATGCCTGACTGTAGGAGAAAGTCCAGCAGACCTCGTGGCACACGCCTCTAACTGAAGCACTCAGAAGGGTAACACAGGACAACAGCTACAAGTTCGAGGCCAACCTGGCTTGTATTACATAGTAAGTTCAAAGCCAGCCTGAATTACCCAGCAAGGCCCTGCCTCACATAAAGGAAGTCCTGACCCAGAGCCGCGCAGACGCAGAGCCACGTCTGTTCATCTGCAAGCAGTCCCTGGCCCCGGCGTGGACGCCTTAAGTGCCAGCAACACACACATGCAGACAGGAGCAAGGCACAAGATGCTCGCAGCAGCTAACGGACGTGCCAGGTGACTGAACTTGGAAAGTTCGAGCAAAACAACGCAACTCGGGATAGCAGGGTGCAGCAAAACCCCAGAGACAACCAGGCCAGGCCAGAAAGCCCACCACGCCGGCCGGCCGGCTGCCTGCCTCCTCGCCATGGCCACAGCCCCAGCGGGGTTTTGACTGTGGGTGCTGCTCCTCTGCTGGACCGCCGTGCGGGTCCCGAGGCGGGGGACTGAGGCCCAGGTGGCGGCGGCTTGTGTCACTGTGTTGAGCTTGAACAGTTGGTATCCATGTAGACAAGGTGCTCAATAACTGCCAGTGTGCCCAGAGCCACCCGCCAGGAGCTCTTCCTTTTTTTTTTTAAGTTTGTAAAGGTTTCAGTTCACGCTAGGTCCAAGGCAGGGTGGCACAGCAGAGGGGCATTGCAGGGGAGAAACTGTCCTCTAGCAAGGCAGGCAGGCAGGCAGGCAGGCAGGCAGGCAGGCAGGCAGCAAATAGCAGGCCTGATTTTCTGTCCCTTTTTTTTAGGTATTTTTTTCTTTTTCTTTTCTTTTAATTTTATTGAGAAACAAATATGAATAAACATTTTCAAAGCTGATTAATAGGACAGTTTTGATAATCAATACATTGTACATTGTTATCTTCTTAGCAGTTATCCATAGT